AGTAAGAGTGTAAAGAGAAAAAGGAAGATCTCATTAGAGACTACATGGGCCAACTCTGAGGTAAAAAATAACTACAGGTTTCAGTCCCACAGTGAACCCAGAGTTAATCTTTATGCAAGAAAGAGAACAACAGTATCGATGTAGAGAGGGATATTTGACAACACTCTTACATCTGGGTTTTTCAGAATGGACAGACAGTCTTCCACAGGTCTGGGTTCAGCAGGTACACTGATCACAGTCTCTGACACATCAACAATTTCCTGAGTTTCATCCTCTCCCAAAACAAAAGTACGTTTATGCTCAGGCTCTTTTGGGGCAGGCAGGGGCCGAATCACTAAATCTGAAGGAGAGACACTGCATTTAGATTCCACTGTAGAATGTTGGGTTTGCAGAAAATGAACACAAATGTGTGAAGGTAAGAAGAGAATACCTCTTTCCTCTTTGGTAACAACTGGAGGGGGAGTTGATGTTTTCTCAGGCTTGCTGGAAACGGGAACCTCTTTCCTACAGCACTGATCAGGAGACCATTTCTGAGAGAGCATGGAGCTTGGAGTGGGGACTTTCAGGGACAGGGTAGACTCCATCTCCACCTGCTCGAAGAAAATGTACTTCACAGCCAGGAACAGAGCAAGACCCAGTGTGATCACCTGCTCAATATCCATGCTGATCATCCTAAATGCACAGAATAAAATAATAGTCACATCATATTCTTGTTATTGTTATTAACAATGCACAATATATTATTACCACACTGGTTATTAGCCAATATTGGAGTTTTTTTATTTATTGTATCTATTGATTTTGGATAATTAATCGTGCATGCTCATTTCTCCTATTTTTACATTTAGATTATCTTTGCTGTTATCCAACACTCACTAAACTGTAATCTTTAGAAAAAGTAACAATTAAATAACACTGTTAAATGCAATCTTTAGCAAATCTCAAAATACATTTCTGTGTCAAATTTTATACTGTGGCATATCTATAGTCAAATTGATACAGAGAACTATGTATTTTGAACTATTGAACTATACAAAGAATTTCAATAAAACCATCTCCATCATTAATGGCCAAAATATTTGTATTAATTAAATGAATAAAATCTCTGAAGTGTAACTACCTGGACAGGTAAAAGTGCCAAAGGGGCATGTCTGGCTCAATTCTCTTGGGCATATTGTCATTCAGGCTCACTCCAACTTGAGGAAGATCAAGAGTTCCACTACTTGACGTGGGATCTGCAATCCACCGGCTATGAGCATGAACCATGACCAGGCCAAGAGACTGCAAATATTAGAGACAAACCCATCAATATAATAAATCCCAGTAATAAAAGATTGTAGTGTTTTTGGTTCAATGCGTACCATGATCATTTTGACTCTTTGTGTGACAGGGTTAGGCTTGTTGTCCTCTTCCTCCTCCAGAACTCTAGCAAAGTGACTCAGCTGCCAGATGGGTCGTCCCTCCCTGCTCTCTCTAGACAACTATGTGAAATAGTCACACATGTTAGAATATGTTACAGTCTTCCTATATGTGTACTGCACTTAAATATGCTTACAGACCTCCAGCACAAGAGAGACACAGGCCGGGAAGAAGGTCATGAACACAAAGTAGTTAGCCAGGACAGACATGCAACCAAAGCAGCACATGATCTCAAGTTGTCGCACACCTGCAGAAAAACAATTAGTTAAATTAGTTAATGAGTTAAACAAATCTGTTGAATGTTAGTGCACTGCAACTGTGCTGATTTTCTGTCTCATGTGGAAGGGTTCAGTTTACCTGACATTGTCCCCACACCAATCACCAGGCACTCCACAAGGGCATCAAGAGTAAAAGTGGGTCCTAAAACAGCCATTCCTTTGGCAATATTCTCTCTCACCTCGTCCTGCAGGACAGTCAAAAAAGCCATTTACAAAAACCAGAGACTGATTAGTCGTGTTTATTTAAACTTCAGGTTAATGTAGATGAAAAGGTAAGGTACCTGTGAGTTTGAACTCAAAGCAAACTTAGCCAGAGCACATGCTTTGGAGAGGTCAATCAACAGCAGAAAGAATGGCAAGGCCTCACTGGGAAAAAAAAAAAAAAAAAAAAATTTAACTTGATATATTTACTAACTACTTTCCAAAAAACAAAGCAATACTTCTAAGATTTCTAGCGAGAGTGATATAAGACATACTTGAGGCCTGTAAGCTCCTTGTCCAGGAAGTGAATCACAACTGTGCTAAACACAAAACTGGAGAATATTGTGAAAAGTCCTGCAATGCCTGAAAAAGAAATATTAATATAAACATTAACACTCGTAATTCATGTTATCTCAAAAACTCATTTTTTTAAAAACAGGTTTAAAAAATGACAACTTACCCAATATGTATTTGGATCCTAATTGTCGAAGATTTTGGAATTGAAAGTAAATATAGACGATTGCTATGCATCTTGTGATTGTCAGGATAATGATATCGCTGCTTAAGATTTGCTGGAGACAAGAAAGAGAGAAAAAAGAAATTAGGAATAATAGATATAATAATAGATAGGAATTAGATTAATTAGAACTATACATTAACTGCCACCATGTTGTAATTCATTTCCACAGTAACACACTGTACCTCCTCCAATTTGGGGCAATCAAAGTTCCAGCCACATATCTGGTTATTTCCAGTGAACATATTCATGGACATCATGCAGATGGTGAGAGTCACAGTAGTCACAATGACTTCCCAAGGATGGGAGGCCACAAACAGGCCATGGATTCGGAAAAGTCTCGTCAGCATTTTGAAGGTGTGTTACAGTCACTTACTGTAGATGACAGAAAGCAAATGGGAAAGTTACATTACAATGGCAGAATTATGAATTACAAATGTTATTCTGACAGTCATACCACCGCAATTTCATGAGTATGAAGTCAAGCACAAAAAATATTAACTACATAATTGATGAAAAAAAACTCTTAAAGTGCTTCTAGAGCATAACTTTTATTTTAGTTAAATAAAATTTCTTTTTGAGTTGTTTATAGAAATGGTCTTTATTAACGAATTTACATTGTACTACAGTAACATCAGATGGCTTGACATAAGTGCAATGCACAAAATAATACATAGGTAATGTGATAGATTATAGAAGGTGCCATTTGTTTCTGTATTTACTGATTGTGAAGACCAATGATCAGATTATAATCACTGATTTAACTGTCAAAATTATTCATTAGATCGATCTAATATTAAATAGAAATATAATTTATTTTTGTATGTTCAAAGTGATGAGCGTGTTTTCAAAAAATAAAAATAAAAAAATATATAAGAAATAAAAAAGTAGCTTATTATAGATAGAAGCTGAGTCACCTCATCATTCGATTTTAAAATATACCCTTTTATTAACCATTCATTTACATTTCTGTAATTGTTTACAATACAATTATAATAAAATAAAAAGAGAAAATGGAAAAAATATTTTTTATCTAACTTTTGCATTAGCACATACAATGATCCTGACTTAATGTTCTAGTTGTAGAGCCTACATCACCAACAATGATGATAAAACATGAATCACTGATGCAATCATGCCGAAACGAACTGAAAGAAATCCACATTCGATTATGGACAACACTGAGCAGGCATGTCTAAAATAAAAGCTATGGCTGGCTGAAGGTCTGATGCACGCACTTACCAGTAAGGGTCACTGAGGGTTAAACAATTAGTACCAAGAGCAAATCACTGTAAAATCCTCCACATATGCGGCTGATTTAATAAAAGCCTATAGATATTTTCGCTGTTAGAAATGAACATTTAGGTGTGTTTCTCATGATTAAATATAGTATTAAATATAGACGATATCAATCCATATCCCGACGTCTGATGACTCCAGTCGACAAATCCGGCATCCACCTCTAAAGCTTATGAAGCGATGGCATGGCTCTGCGTCAGTCGAGCGAAGAGCCAATCAAATCCTCGAACCATACCGATGAGCAAGAAAGCCACGCCCACTTTCCTGCTAATGGTGCCGAGGGCATGTCCTGCCGGAGGACTCGTGATCTGGCCATCATTTGAATGTGTGTGAGGTGTGTCAGGTGTGTGAACCTTGGCCCAGCCTTCACCGCAAAAAATATCCGACCTTGTAACTGTAATAGACCCCACAGCATTAGGAAATAGAAATATAATATTTTCTTATCGTACCGTTAATTAATCGTGGCTAACCTTTTTAAATCAATAACAATTATCTGATCTAATGTAGGTTTTGTTTCATGAAACATTTAAGAAGTACTAAAAAATAAAATACAATTAGTCAGTAAGTATATAGATGTTTGGCCTGCAAATACTTGTGGACGTTTTCATATATTACAAGCGTTTTGTAGGCCGATACTGCTGCATTTCAGACCTCTGTATTGTATAAACTGATTTATATAACAATGATCATCGTGTGTGTGATGTAGGGTGACGTGAAACATTCTTCTCAGAACTAAATTTGCAAGAATTCTGACTCAATAAAAAAAGCTAAAGTATTTGGTTACTGGTGTCATTATAGAAATGCCCTGTTTATATATTGAATATATTTAATGTCCGATAGCATGGGAATCAAGCAAAGAGAGAAATATCTATTTAATTATAAATATAAATAAATAAATTTTTTCTATACATTTTTCAAAAATATAATTTATTTTTGAAGTCATTTTTAATAATGAAATAGTGCACATTTAAAAGTAAAATCAATAAGACGACGATTAAAAGAATTGCTGAGTTATGAATGATTTCTAATCTCTTTATAATCAGAAATGATAGGGTTTTATGTATATCATAGGATTAAAAAAATAAAAAGCATTAAATATCTCTTTTATCAGATGAGATCTTGCTGTGACCAATCAGATTAGAGCTATTAACCCAATTTTCCGCCGAGAAAAAACAAACAGAAATAATAACACACCTTCATAGCAACATTTATTGAATATTACCAATGTAACGAGACATCGCGCTTTTATTAAATGTTTTGTGTCGTATTGTTCAATGCAAACAAATATGGATTTAGAGCAGGAGGAAACCATCGCGACGGACGACGACAGCAGTGAAGCCGACCAGAACTTTTACCTCAGCAGGTCAACTGATAACGGCTAACGTTTGCATTCCTATATTCTGCCCCGTTAAATGTAGCGAAAGTGATAGATTTGCAATGGTAACGACTGGTTCATGTATTATTGTAGGTTAATGTTGATAGAACATCAGTTCTCAACCCCCACCGTCGTCTCTCATCGTGTCCTAATTAGTGAAGGTATGATCATGTGCTGTAGTCAAACTAAGCTCGTTCGCGGGCATTTCTTGAGTAATGCCTTTTTCACTTTTGGCCCACTTAATTTTTTTCTTTTTTGAATCTTTAGAATCGGTTCAAGGCCGGTTGAATCGGTCTTAGTGAGCACCACTAATTGTACTACCATTCACTGTACTGTTACAGTAGCAGCTTAACTAGTCTCTTTGTTTGACAGAGATTTCACCTCAGATTGACCTGCAATATCGCACAGGACAGAATAGAAAGACATCCATAACAAAACAGGTATATTACATTAGACAGCACATGCTGAGGTCCTAATACAATCTAAGCTTAAGCATTTCTAGATACATGTGTTGAATTCTCTTTTTTATTATTACAAGCAAACCCATGGCACCGTGGTTTCACCAATAAATCCTGCAAGGTTTGCACACCTTTTGGTACATGAAACAAATATGCATTCAAGTGTAACATTCACATAATAATTGGCTTTGCTCTGTGTTTATCAGCGTTCAAGCTGGTATTATTGAAGAAGAAAGTTCTTCAGAAAGGGAACACAGTGAAGGTACACAGTCTGGAAAATAATCCTTTTAACTTTAAACAAGTTCCATAAAGATCCACAAAAGCCTTTAGTGCCTCAACTAGATAAACTGTATATAGCTCTTCAAATGTTAACACCACACCTGATCCACCGTTTCATGGTTTTGGAGATTTAAGCAGTTCAGGCGTCTGGTGACTGGTCTTTGGCTAATTCTTATGTAACCTCTGCCCCCTAGTGTTGAGATCCATTCCCATACATGGCACCAACTCGCTTGCTTCTCACCAGCACACTGTGCCGATTTTGAGACCTTCATTGAGAATAAACGGCAAACCTTTTGGTGAAAAAACTGATCCATTGGCCACAATGAAGAACACTCAACTACTGAATACTAAAAACAGGTCAATCAGGATCAGGAATAAATGCACACAATAGTATCTTTCAGATTGTCAATTGCTAAAACATACAGTAGGGTCTAAAACCATACATTTTTTTAAACCTGTATATAAACAAATAAAGCTTCAACACTGTGAATGTTTTAAAACAAAGAAATGTTATCATGTACAATTAATTTCTAGGTAACTAATTAAAGTCAAGATGCTCTTTGGAACTTACTTCGACATACTAATCCAACTTTTCTTTGTAACTGTTAAGCTGCCAATATAATTTGTGATTTAAAAAAAGTTTATTCAGTTAGAAAAATGCTAATTAGAAGCATTTTACAAGCATCATCTCAGCTTTTGGATCCCACTGTATGTTACTCATTTAATTCAGCTGTTTTATACATTGTAAATTAGCTCAAAATTTGCTGAAAAATGAATGTTATATTTACTGTTTACATTCAGGTCACTGCCTTCTAAAAGGAAGGAGAGTCCAGACACCAAAGAGTACAATAAAGAGTTCAATACACCTTTGCCTACACATGATAAACCAACATTAACCGCTAAGCCTTGCGTTAGTCCAGGCAAGTGCTCAAACCTGACTACACAAATTAAGCTCAGTGCAGTGTAGACAGGTAACATTACAGCATGTGTTCTTGTTAATTTTGTACAGAATGATGAATCCATGCTAGAAATGAACTTTCTTGATAAAAGCATATGTGCACCTTTATGAGGTACACTTAGATAACACAAACTCTGTTTGATAGGTTTCAGTGGCCAAGGCATTACAGAACGAAAATCAGGGAAAGTCCTATCACTCAAGTCCATCCACAGACGGAATTATTTTGGAGAGACAAAGCTGCATTTAGCTGTGATGAAGGGAGACATTCAAGACGTCAAAGACTTGATCGCACTGGGTGCTTCTGTTAATATACGGGATTATGCAGGTATGGCATGTTGGAGGATATCATAAAACATAAAATTGTTCATTACCACTATTGCATTTTATTAGAGGACACTGCATATTTCACACTTTTATTCAAATCATCCCACAAGCACTCATTTGGCTCCCTAGTTATAGACCAATGGTTGAAGTTAGCACACATGTCCACCTGATGGCATTGTGGATCAACACTTCTGAACTTAAAGGTCTATTCAATTTAAGGGTGGACTCCACTCCATGAGGCAGTGCAGAGAAACAAGTATGACATGACAGAAAGTTTACTTGAAGCTGGAGCCGAAGTAAACTGCAGAGCAGATAATGGAATTACACCTTTACATGATGCCATTCGGTATCAGTATTACAAGGTGTGTAAATTGCATACAGTGGTGCTCAGATGTACCTTCAATGAACACTAGTTATATAAAACACTATACACAGACTGTGATAGTTATTATATTGAATACTTATGCTTACAGATTGTAGATCTACTTCTGAAGTATGATGCTGATCCATTATCAAAGTGTGACAGAGGGATGACTCCTATGGACATGACCACAGAAAGATCTATGTACATACTGGTGGAGAAATATCTGCAGAAGACTAAAAGTGATCCAGGTCTAAACATCTTGACATACACAAAACAAATTTAATATACAGGGGTTGGACAAAATAATGTGAACGCCTGGGAAATAGGCAATATTTCTTAATTAGGTGTTTTACCACTGTTTGCCTTGAACATTTCGTTTTTGGCCGCTAGGCTTCTTTGCTGATGAAGTCTTTCCATGCTTTGTGTACACAGTCATAATAATAAAGAATGTTGTACTTAAAAACAATTTGTCTGTTAAGGTAACAGATGCTTATGTTAAATGGGCTCCCATGATTTGTCCTTTTTTTGGAAGTCTGACAGAGCCATTTCCCGGAGCATTTGTAATAACCACTGCTGAACACAACTTATACAACACTGATACACAAACTAGAGAATATAGACAATGAAAATAACCCTATCATAATGGGTGTTCACGTTATTTTATCCAACCCGTATATATTTATATGTGTTCATATATATATACTGTATATCATATCTCCTAGAATACAAAACATTAAATATAAATAGTAAAAATTGGTTTGTTTCACTGTATTTGTAAATAGATAAAAATACACCCAGCACCACTGATTCTGCAGTTAATCCAAGTATGAGCCAAAAAAACATGCAGAACTCCATCAAAGTAAGTCAAAGATGTATCATTGGATAAAAGATCTGCTGTCACTGACTGTGGCATCATTACATGATCTGATTACTGATCAGTTACTTTTGTTTCATTTAACTTTGAGGACACAAGAACTCCTCTTGAGAAATCAACAGGAACTGCTGATACAAGTGAGCATGAAAGCAGCCCTCAGTCTGGTGAAGCTGAACCCATTCCTGGTCCAAGCAGTGGACAACCAAGCTGTGATCCTTCCATTCAGGCCTCTCTCCAAGGTTCTCCTCTACACTAGTCAAGGGTTGTGGGAACTAGATATGGCTCATGCAATATTTAATAACAGTAAATGTGTACCCCTCGACAATCTAGTCACTGTAATGAACACACACATTTACCCGATAGTAAAATACACATTCGTTAAAATTCAATTGATGTCGTATTGATCAAAGATATGGTCAGGTTAAGTTAGCCAGCTTAAGTTAGAACTCTCTAAATAATTAGTTCTTTAGAGGGTATTAAGTGTAAAATTCACCCTCATGGAGTAAGGCTAATTATTTTGAATGGGAAGGCTAATGGAATTTTCTCATGTAATGTAAAATCACATCTTATTTTAAAAGTTTATTTTGATTGGGAGCTAAATCCACAATAATTGCTAACAAAAGGAAAGTAGCTTTTTTGCTACTAAGTGACAATATCCACCTCAGCATCTCTTATATTCAGTAGGAAGTGTTAAAATGGCACATTAGCAAGCAATACAGCTATCAAATTGAGTCATGTTTTGCCCACAACTTTATTTGCTAAAATTAGTCCCTTATGTGCTTGGTCCTCATACCACGTATGAGAAAAGAAAATAAAACAGATGAATAAATGCACATTCATTTTAAATCCACAATAATTGCTAACAAAAGGAAAGTAGCTTTTTTGCACCAAGTAAGTGACAATATCCACCTCAGCATCTCTTATATTCAGTAGGAAGTGTTAAAATGGCACATTAGCAAGCAATACAGCTATCAAATTGAGTCATGTTTTGCCCACAACTTTATTTGCTAAAATTAGTCCCTTATGTGCTTGGTCCTCATACCACGTATGAGAAAAGAAAATAAAACAGATGAATAAATGCACATTCATTTTGAAGCATGCTGCACATGCAGACTATATTATACTGTTTCTTACAGTAATTGCACTGTGCAACTTTGTGGAGGCACATCATTATCAGTATTTATAATTTAAAAGTTAATGATTTTTTTTTAGCATTTTGGCTTTTATTAGATAGCACGTCTAATGTGAGGCTCAGTTGTGAATTAGGGTGTTGTGTGTCCTCATTTCCCAGTGGAACCATCACCTCAGACTAGCACCGATAGGGCCTTTCGCACCGCGGGAACCTTTTCATAGTACCAGAACTAATTGTGGAGCTACCCACTTTTTGGCGTTTTCGCACCGCCGGAACTGGGTGTGATTTTAGTACCGGACTGCCTTTTTCGAGAACCAAATTAGCTCCTACTCCGGAGCAGGGTCTAACCAGCACAATCAATCGCTTTACGTATACGTCGACTTTCCATGTTTGTCCATTATTGTGAAACCCGCGAGACACAACAAAAACACAGCTCCGATCACAGCGTCCTCCATCCTCCTGTTGTTAATGTTGTTCTTCTTTGTTTCTGTTGTTGAACGCCGCGCACAAATGACGTCGCTGTCGACCGGTTCCTAGTACACACTGTCGGTGCGAATGCAACCCTTTAAATGGTACTGGGAAATAGTTCGTGCAAAATCGTCACAGTACTTTAGTACTGTCCATTTAGTTCTGGAACTAAAGCGTTGCGGCCTTGTACTGTGGCCTGTGAGGAACCAAGAGCAGGACTTCTGTAGCAAGGGTCCCTCACTGGTTCAAGATCAGGAGAGCGAGGGATCAGACACCTCAAGCTGCCTAGACAGTGATGTTACAGTGGATTATATCTAAGATTATTCACCAGAACATTGGACTCTGTTTGCTACTCAAGATTTTTCTGGTTCCTAGAGCAATAGGGATGTTTCAGCAGATTGTCAAATATCTGATAAGTTCATTCAGTTGAATATTGGGTTATTTTATGTAACTTAGTACTCTTTTTTTGTTATTTTACATCATTTGAGATGCATACTATCTGATACAAATACAAAATATACTATAAAATGTATACATCTGGTATATGTTCAAAATATTGGTATTTTTTTACATTAATTACATTTGTTTGGTTATGTGAAGTAAGCAGTGTTATATGTAATTTAAATTTCATAATAGTAAATCTACTAATTTGCCTTTTTAAGATTTTAATGTATGACACAATGTGGTTGTTCCTTTGAGTTTCCAGAATAAAGAAATTAGATTTAAACAGTTGTCTCATGAAAAACATTTTCTTTGTAACCAAAATACAACATTGAGGGTGACAAATATTTTTTGCCTTTAGTTTTCATTCTATCTTTATTTGTTTCTATTTATTATTCTTAGGGGAGGTTGGAGAAACTCTGATGAATGATGGCAGTTCAGTATCTGAGAAGACAAGCTCACATTCTTTCCATGACCATAGCTATGCAGTGAGTGGTTTCCTTTACACCAAATAATGTCTGTCATGTGCATTGTATCCAAACCTGCTCAGCATTTTTATTTCACCGATTATTTCAGATTACTGATCTGTCAATTCAGAGCAGAAGTGAAGATTCATATAAAGTTCCCTCAGTGAGAAAGAGGATATTAGAGGGCTGTCAACACAATTATGGGGCTGATATAAGGGATGATAATGCCTCTGCTATGGCTAAGAAAAGGCTCAAAAGAACAAAACATGACATTCAAAATGAAAAAGATTTTTTGGAATACTTGCTCAACTTTGATACGAACCATGTCTTTGTTGATACTGAGAGTAAAAAAGAAGTAGATGGCCCCTTACTTCAACAGAATGAAGATGCAAGAAAAGAACAACAGTCAGCTCTTGATGTTTACCAAAAGATTCCATCTGAAACGGTGTGCTGTTCTGACACCAACAACAACAGCAGTCAAGAATGCAGCAATTCTTCACTGTCCCCTCATTTAAATGAACTAATTGACTCATGTTTACAAGGGACATTCAAGGGAGACATTAATGTACATCCATCTGGAGCAATGGCTAAATCACTGTTACAGAGGGAGAAACTGTTTGACTCAGGCAGCCCTGGTTCACTGTCTTTGCTTATGGCCATAATCCATAATCAAGGATTAACCTGCAGTCCAGAGGATTCAGAGAAAGATGAACCATTAGAGGAATTAGACACAGCCAACAAACAACTGCCAGATACTAAAACATCAGAAGACCCACTTATAGCCCAGTCATTGTATTGTGAGCTCCAACAACTACAGGGAACTTTGCCATCAGCCAGCCCTGCCATTGAGTCTCTCCATGTGGATAGTATCACTGGCTGTTCAGAAACCTGTATAAATACACCACATAATGACTTGACACAAATCAGCATTCAAGAACTGCAATCTCCTAAAACACTGCCCCTAAAGAAGCCTGTAAATCAGGACGAAGAAACAGACATGATCACCATTCAAAACCAGCAGGAGGTGGTAGAGATAATAGAGACAGCACTGAGCACTAATCAGACCAAAATGAGTAAGAGCTACAGTGAAGATGATGGTGTGGAATGGGAAAAGCTGGAATGTGACACATTGATTTTAAATGTGACAGATCTCATTGGTGAACCTGAAGCAGAAGCACATTCTTCTTGCAGGGGGGTAGTTAATGAGCCAGTGAGTGACATTCTCAAAGACCATGCCAGTACATGTCCTGTTTCACCCACTTTTTTCTGTGCCAGAGTAGATGTTGAACAGCTTGAAAATTCTCACGTGGCTGATTGCATTGTTGTCGAGAATCATATAGTTAAAGATTCAGCAGATTCTGACTGCACTGTTGTGGAATGGTCCAATGCTGCTGACATTCAGGATGTGGCCATCACATCAATTCAGCATGAACTCTTTAGTTCTGAAGAAAGGCATAGTGAAAAGGAAGCAGAGAACACAGAGGGTACACCTGACACAGTGGCTTCAGAGAGTGTTTTGAGGCTGTTTTTACCTGAAAATTTGTGTACACAACCTTCACTGGATAACAATGAAGAAACAGCACATTTAAAACATGATCCACAAATAGCTCTGGAAACCAAAAGGCTCCTAAACACAGGTGAACTGAAAAGTCAGAAAAAGAAATCGAAACAGAAGAAAAGGCCACTTAGACAAGGACGAAATTTTGCAGATGGATTGGATACAGGTGATTCCTTGGGGTCAATCATAAATATTACCATCACTATTTAGGACGTTAATTTTTTATATTGTCCTTTCTCAACAGGATCAAAGAAAGTTTTTACAATTACTCAGAAAAGTCTTCACAAAAGAAATAGTGTAGGCGAGACTCAGCTTCACCGGGCGTGCATCAGAGGAGACCTGCAAATGGTCAAATTCTTGATAGAAGCTGGAAGCAATGTTAATGTATCAGATAATGCAGGTGGGAAAATCCTTGCCTTGGTATGTGTACATTATTTCCTTTGATCTATTTAATGCTTTCATGATGTCTTGGGTGGACAGGATGGACCGCCCTTCATGAGGCCTGTTCCAGAGGTTTTGTAGATGTGGCAGAGCAGCTCTTGGAAGCAGGGGCCGATGTCACCAGCAGAGGGCTAAATGGATGTAACCCGCTGCATGATGCTGTTTTATCGAGCTCATATGAGGTTGCTTCTGTATTTCTGTTATGATCTGTCCCAATTCTAAATGCCAGATTCCATCACTTGTTAGTGTACTGGTTAAAAGGTCATTAACCCAAAACATTTAAATTTAAATAAGTATTTACTCAACTACATGTCATTACACACGTTTCCATACAAAAAAAATATAGTGATCAGAGGCTGTCAATCTCCAAAAAGGACAAAAAATACCATAAATGTAGCTCAAGCAACTCATGCACTCTATTCTTTTGATGCTAGACTACTTGTGCTATAGCAAGAATATAGAGCTAAAGCTCTATTATTTCAGTTTGAATGGAAAACAAGTGTAAGAGCAGAGTAATATTTCTATAGGTTTCAATCTGATTTCACCAGCTTATTCACACTAACACTCTACTCAAATGTAAATGCACTTTCAAAAGCAGTTAAAGTTCTGATCTTGATGTTTTATGCATAGATTGCGAGGCTTCTCCTTCAGTATGGCTCAAGCCCTCATGACAAGAATATCCTGGGACATAATGCGGTAGACCTCGCAGCACATGAAAGCATCAAAGGGCTGCTTTTGACATTTAAAGGACCTTTTCGTAAACCTGCCTGGACAACTGACACTTCCAAACAGGGATCCCAGCTTTTGGCTGCAGAGCAGATGCAGCCAGGTAAAAAAAGTCTGCATGGAAAACCTTGAAAAACAGTAAAAAAATTCTCTCATCATTTACTCACCCTCATCTTATTCCAAACCTGTATGACTTTCTTTCTTTAGTACAACACAAAAAGTGTGTGTGTGTACTTTATGCTACATTGAGGGGACCAAATGTCCCCACAAGGATAGTAAAACCTGAAAATTTTGACAATGTGGGGACTGGTCTGCGGTCCCCATGAGGCATTTTCCTTGCGAAAAAAAATTGTAAAAATAGTAAATGATGTTTATCTGAAAGTGTAACAATGCAAACAGGTTTTCTGTAAGGGGTAGGTTTAGGGTTAGGGGATAGAAAATATCACTTGAGCAGGAACAAGGATCGATTTGAGTGGCAATAGCAAATTGAACTGCCATATTAGAGATGGAATCATTCAACATGGGGATGATAATTTAGAAATGACACTCAAGGTAGGCTAATTTATAAACAATTTGTCAGATGCTGATCAAGACAAGTTAGCTTGCTGTTTTTCATAAGGTTTTTAAAGCTCTGATTATTACATTTTAGGGTTGTACCTACGAGGCCTATCTTTTGGAAAATGGATCTATCAGTGATGCCAGTGGCAGAGTCTTCCTCCTCCCAGAACAATGTTTTGAATCAGTCCTGGAGAGTCAGTCCTCAGGTCCTGGCACCTCTGATTTTGCCTTTAAAAAGGTACAAGACAACTTTGTGGAATGTTAAGCTGTTATCTGCTGTTAATTCTGATGCATGGCTAAAACTGTAAAGTAATCATGAGACAAAAATACTGACATGTGAGTTCAGTAGTGACATTGAAACTACTTTTTTTTTTTAAACATTCTTATCCTGGCAGGTTATGTATCAATCCAAGTCAAGTTGTTTAAATACAGAGAAAACACCTCTGGGATCAGTACATCCCCATTCCTGCACATTCAACAACAGTCCATCAAAACCTGCTATAAAAGGTTTGTCAACTCGATAACTAGATATAGGACCAACCTTACTACTCCTAGTTCCCTAATGGTATGACAAATTTGATAAGGACTTAAGATCAGCTTTTCAGTTTCGTAAATCCCAATCTTTTGTAAAAGCAGATTACCCATGACACTTAAACAGAATGTTACAAAAGCAACTATCAGCAGAATCTGTGACATGCTTTCTGTTGTGTTGAAATCTGCTTACAATGAAAGCATGCAAGGTGTCCTTGGTTTGTACTGAAAAGAACAAATGGAGGTTATGTTGCATGGTAATCGACTGCATATGCCACAGACGTTTTCTAAACTTGAAATAGCTTTTGAAATAACTGTCTAGTTAATACTATTTCGTTTAATAATTCATTCATTTATTCGTTTTGTTCAATAGAGCCGTCCAAAAATGACGTTTTCATGAACATCAGATCAATTCGCTTGGTCAGCGATGAGGAGTTTTTTCCAAGCCACGTGATGAACAGATACTGGGATTTCTTCGCCCAGAGTGAGGAGTGGACCTTTGAAACTTAAGAAAATTGCTCATGTTGCGCAAAAGTGCCTGTTAGAGCATAAATGAAAAAAAACCGTTTCAGTGTTAAAACCTTTAATGTTAGTTGTGATATATTCTCATTGTTGGTTTGAAAGTACGAATAACCTATATTAAAAACGTTTTTGTACATCTACGTTTCTTTTGTAAAGAGGATGGTCTTGATATTAAAATGTAAGTCAACACATGACCCGTTCCATTTATTTATTTTACCTAAGTAATAACCGGTATGGATCCCATCAGCGCGTTTCTAGATGAGTTTGTGTGTTTGAACACTCGCCTGTGATGCTAGGAAACGATAGAAACTTGAAGATAACGAGGTTTAATTGCAAAGCCCGAGTACGAGTGAGCGGATAGGACTTTCCCGGCGGTCACGCCTTATACTGCTGCTCTCGAGTCAGACTGCACAAAGTGAAGTCAGCAGTCCAAGAACTTGGTCATCTTGAGCGGACTGACGGTACGACTCCACGCAATCTTAAAAGCAGATGTAAGTATCTTGAACTCGACAGATTATTTAGAGATAGGCAGGACATTAATTAGTATCTCCATCGCATATGTGTTACGGAAAGCAAAAATCTGTTGTATAGTTACTCTTTTCTTAATTATATACTACGTCGTTCATACATTATTTGAATAAAGTTTCGAACCTATAATAACAAGTAAACTATTTTCTTTGGTTTCGGCCGAGTGATGGAGTTTTTCTAGTACTGTACGCTATCTTTGTTTAATCTCTTCAAACCGTGCGGCAACTTCAGCAGTATTACCTAATCAATTCCTTTCGGAACCGAAGGTTTTACATCTGTTATTCTTCATCTGTCACACAGACATATGTTGTAATTTTGAGAAACATTTGATGGCAGTGACACAAAACAAAAGACAAGGTAGGCAAGTCCACTTGAGTCATGATACGATACAACCATGCAGTTTCCTGGCTGAATAGTTTTGTCAGAGGATTTGAGTTATTATGTCAGCCTTATTTATAACACCCGTTTTACTTTGCCAACAGAATGAAAAGAAGATGTGCTGTCTTACACTGGTTAAGATGCAAGTTCTATGTGTTTGTTGTGTCATTGTTTGTCGTGCTGAAGCTAGTATACGTCAAGATTTCAATGGACAACAGTATTTACATCGAGCCCTATGGAGCTACACATAGATCACTCAGAGCTCAGCCTCTGAATGGTATTAACTGCACAGCCATTTATGAACTGGAACCGGTGGAAATTGGCAAGTCATTGGAGTTAAGACGCAAAAACATTGTGGAAGTCGATGATGGGAGTATTGTTTCTTTCACTGCAGACTGCAAAAACTACATGGAACAAAGGGGTTATAATGAGGTCATTGTAACAGATGAGGAATGCAGCTTTCCAATTGCATACTCTTTAGTGGTGCACAAGAACAGCGCTATGGTGGAAAGGATTCTTCGAGCCATCTACACACCTCACAATATTTACTGCATTCATTATGACCAAAAGTCCTCAAAAAAATTTATTGCAGCAATGAAGAACTTGGAAAAATGTTTTCCAAATGTCTTCATAGCCTCTAAAATTGAGTCCGTTCAGTATGCACATATTACCAGACTTAATGCAGATCTCAACTGCCTTTCAGATCTTTTGAGTTCAGAGGTCAAATGGAAGTATGTTATCAATTTGTGTGGCCAAGACTTTCCGCTCAAGTCTAATTATGAGCTGGTAACTGAGCTCAGTAAACTGAACGGTGCAAACATGCTCGAATCAAGCAGGCCCAGCGAAATGAAAAAAAAGCGATTTCAGTTTCGGTATGAACTGAAAGACGTGTCATATGAATACCATAAAATGCCAGTTAAGACAGACATTGCTAAAGACCCACCACCGCATGACATTGAGATGTTTGTTGGAAGTGCTTACTTTGCCTTGACACGTGATTTTGTGTCATATATTATGACCAATCAACTGGCAAAGGATTTTCTGCAGTGGACAGCTGACACATATTCTCCTGATGAGCACTTTTGGGCAACGATGGCCAGAGTGCCTGGAGTTCCTGGAGAGATCGAGAGAGCTGAGCCTGATGTTACAGACCTGAAGAGTAGGACACGTTTGGTTAAATGGAACTATCTTGAAGGCCGTTTGTATCCACAGTGCACCGGCACACACAGACGCAGTGTCTGCATCTATGGTGCAGCGGAGCTCCGGTGGCTTCTGGAGGACGGCCACTGGTTTGCAAACAAGTTTGATCCCAAAGTTGACCCTGTCATTATTAAATGTCTTGAAGAGAAACTTGAGGAGAAGCAGCATCAACAATGCCTGAAAAGAGTGTCTTAAAAAGAAGGCCTTACTTTTTGGGCCGTGCTTTGGTGTAAATATGTACGTTTGCTGCTGCACTTATGTTCGTTCAAAGCACCAGCTGACTGAAAAGTTAGCTGTATTTCCAAGCCATTTAAATTTCAACATGTTGCCATCCTCTATATGCTAGGTCAGTATGTTAATGAGTTTGCCTTTCAGCTTCTGCTTTATAACTTGACCAAAGATGTATTCATAGGTGCTTAAGCTATGACATATTTATATATTTAAATGTATTTAAACCAATCCTGTGAGATGCATGTAGACCATCTTTTTCATTCTATTTGTTACTGAATCAGTCTGTGTGGGAACTTTCTTAGGGCTTCAGCTGTGAGGGTCAGCTGAAATGACTAAATTTGTCATTTTTAAATAGTCATCTTAAAACAATGCCTGTATCAATGCCAGGGTTATGCTGTGTCATTTTAAAATTATTTATATAATAACGACAATCTCCACTGTACATTCAATATTGACTGTTTCAAATAAAGCTATTTAGCTGTAGTACTTGAGTCTTTCTCCTTCTCTTATTGGAACAGTGAAACAGTCACACCTGTGTACTCAAAAGTCACAGTATATTTGCTGTTTGTCAGTGATGTAAATATTAAACAATAGTTTCTTACGGTCTTCAAATTTCATTGGCTAAGTGGTTTTCCATAGGTGTTGATAGAAGCTAAAACATAAAATACTACTTATACTGCTGTAGATTTATACACGTTCCAGACAGACTGTCAGTGTGGTTTTTTTAGTCGTTTTCTGCAGGCTACATTGTTAAGCCATTAGGTTCATTCAGTAATGAAGCAAGTTGTTGAATCATTCACTCAGAGGATTTGTTCAAAAATGCTGTTTCATTCAGGAATGCCACTATTGCATGCAACACAGGAGATGAGTAACAGTTAATTACACTGTGGTTAGTTTTTAACTGTTTTGGTTGGTGGCGTGAAATAGACAGAGTAACTGGCAATATTGTGTTTAAAATAGTAAGTAGCTTGATATTTACTTGTTAATTGAACTGTTGTACAAACAGTTTCACATTTAAATTCGTGCTGTTGGACTTTATATTAAAACAAGACTCTTGCTTGTGCGATGCAACATCATCTTTAAATATTTATAGTTAAAGTAGGCTTATGAAATTACTTCATTTACTTTGCGCTGCTTACGTCACTAAATTAAACTGGATATCTGCATTACCTTCAAAGCCCTCATTTAACTTTAACCCTAAAGCTATCTTTTTATTAATATTATTTTAATGTTTGCAGTAAGATGGCATTAAAATGTATGCTTTGTTGAATCCACAGTCTGTCAACTGAGATAAAGTTGGGCAAACTCATAGCAGTCTTTAAAGTGGAGATGCAAGACCAATAAGAAAGCCTTCATTTCTTGGCTCAACAAGTCAATGGCTGAACAAAAGCACCTAAACTTTCACTGCAACAAGACACTCAAGCGTACACACCGAGTGAATTCCCAAAAGCCACTTTTTATAACTGATATGTCCCTTGAGACATTTTAAAAACAGCCATTTTTAAAGTTTGCTTGTGAAAGACAAACATTTCACTATGTTGGAAACTGAATTATGAAGTTTGATTCTAAATGTTCATTTTTATTTTAAGCCAAGTAGTTAGTGCCAATGTCCTGAGTTTGCCCTGTGTCAGTCTGTCTCTGTTCGTTACCAGAGTGCTGGAAACAGAGATCTCGAACCTACTTTTCTGAAAGGGTTTCACTCTAAAGACGTAATTGTACAGCATGTTTGACCACTGAGGTATCCAGCAGGGCTCAGTTTTCTTAATCTAAATGCAGTTTGACCAGCACATGCAGCTCCGTCGTAGTGTTGACAGTGTAAGTTAACGCAGCCTGGAATGTAGACGCCTGCCATTAAAACCTCCTTGGCCCTCTTAGTTTTTCTTATGTCTCAGACTCCCCATTGATGCACTTAGTACAGAGAGCCCTCTGTGTAAGTTTTATTTACTTAATATCTATTACTGCTCTGTGATCAACAGTTTGAATACGACTAACCAGTTCATGGATCATGTGCAGTACAGAAAAATGACATGTACATCTACTTTACAAAAAGCCTGCCACATCCTCGGTGCGAACAGAAGCAGGGAACAGCCAAAGTCACAACATGTTTCCTGAAAGGCCGATATGAGGAAGTCTCTTCCAACAGATAATACATTCCTCTATGGTTTAAGAGAGGAATGAATAACAGTAAGTATGCGCTAAACTGGTTCAAAACAGGAAACAGACAGCAGTGTCTCAGAATTGGCCTGTTCCCCAGAGATGGAAGTTTTGCAAATGCTATTAGGCTGAAATGACGCCCTCACCACATCTGCTTGTCAACAAGCAAATCTGCTTTGAACACTGTTAACCTATTGAAACATTGTATTTCCAGTCATGGTTTGTACTTTTAGTTCTGCCATGGCATGACTAAAACACATATACACTGAACAAGCATATAATGAACTTTCATATAGGAAAAGATCTTATCTGTGTGGTTTTGTGGATTCACTGTGAAAGCAAAACGTCATTGGTATGGTAACATTTGTAGTCAAACTGCAACATATAGTATTTATAGAAGGACATTGTAACTGAACAGCGGTTGTCGTTTATTAAGAAAACAAGATAGTTTGTAAAGCTGCAGGCCCTGTATTTTTCTGCATTTGAAACATTCAGAAAACTCAGAAACTACTTCCACATTTCTATATATACAGAACTTAATGAAATATGGGTGGTTTGTGTTTGAGTCTGAATGTGTGTAAATGTTGCTTGTTTGTCTAAGGCTGCAGTACGCCACATGTGCAGTCAGAGTTGACAAATTTGAAAGGAAATCACCAATTTTTTAACGTTCTATGACTGAATCCAATCAGATTACATCAGACCTTTTTGATTTTGAGATGATTTTATTACACATACTGTTTTCATTTGTCACACGTCTCCCAGCAGTTTAATGTATGATAACCAGTTTTTCTCTGTAACTGTTGACAAAGTCGGCAAGTGTATGATGTTTGGTGTTTTACAATGTGTTTAGATTTTAAAGTTTTTTAGTGTACAGTATACCAGCCCTAAGGCATTTTTAGTGTGAATCCCCAAGATTGATTAGGGATGGTTTGTACATCTAAATCTAAAATACCTATGTGCATTTAGATTATGTGTTCAGGTTTATTCAAATATATGGCAAGGGTGAACAAAAATAACACGGTTTCTTGAACCATTATCACACAGGCCGAGTAAACCTCACCCATTTCCTTTCCATGACATGGCAGTTTAACTAGCTGCAACGTTTCCACTCTCAAAAGCATTTACGTCACCACAGAGTAAATATCATTAGCCTTTGTGGATAATACCGTGGATAAAAAGACCACGTTGAAGGCCTGCGCTGAAGTGTAGCTCAGTTACAGTTTTATTAATAAAGTTGCTCAAAGACTTTAGAACCTAAGGTTAGGAAAGTCCAAAATGAGGGGTCATCTATTGTACTGACGTGCAGGCCACACCTCTGTGTTATTTATGCTAGTGCTATTTAAGGATGTGACATTATTAGCACAACCTTGTGTAGGTGTCCCCTCTGCCAGAAAGAAACTAGTGTGAAATCTAATTTACACTGACTGCTGTACGCTGCCTTTGGTAGCCTCCTAAAGTTCCACAAAACAATCTTTACTTCAATATATAGGAGTTTTTAAGAAAATTTTTTAGTGTCTGGCAGCAAAGAGTGGGCTGCTAAATAAAAAAGTTCATGTTGGTCAGTTCATATCTTATATTCAGCCTTTTTAATGTGCTTAAATACACTAGGCACTCTGTTACATTCACTTTAATGTTAATTTTCAGTCAAAGCTCTGACTAAAACAATAATTGGTCTTTTTAAATTGTCATGTAAACGGTTTGGTCTCGTACCACACAAGCTTTTGTGAAGAACAGATAATGCGATTGCAGCTTGGCTTTGTCCACAATGTAAACACATTCATTAGACTACAATTGGTCTTGCCCTCTCTAAAATCAAAAGTGACGCACAATGTGCATTGACTATTGCGTGTTTTATACCAGAGTATTGACAAAATCAATAAACTTGAAAGACCTGTAGAAACAAACAGTTTCCATGAACAAGAAGTCTGCTCTTTGACCGACTCTGAACACTGTTGTCATAACCATAATCACATCTTTAATCATGCCCATTGTGGACTTGGTGATGGAGGTCCCGGGGTCTATGACAGATGAGCAGAGCCATGCTGACCGCAAAAGCTAGCAAGACAAGCCCCGTCACTCAGCATCGTGCCCGGAGTCAGCCAGGCGAACCGACCAAACTGCAACAAAGAGCCTTTTTATTCTTCTTTCCTGTTCGCAGCACTCGCCAGCCCTCCAGGCTAAGCTTGTGTGCCCCAAGGACATGGCAAAAAAAAGCAGAAATCAGCTCTTCAGAGTCATCAAAATCCAAGTATTCCACTTGGCAGTCCTCAGTTTTTACCAGCAAATACGCTACCAGACTAGCGTCTAGATGTTGAGCAGGTCCTTGTTGTAATATTCAGCCTGGTGTAGCAATATGTTAGAGAGAATTAAAATGTCTAAAAGTAAGCTTGAGTAAATATTGATATGCATTAGATGTACCTGCATTATGAGTCCATGACGTCTTCATTAGGCCAAAGCTGGGAGTGTATTAACAGTGACTCTGGAAATTCAAGTGTTACTAGCATTGTTCAAACATTTTATGCAAGTCAAAATATGTTAAACCCTATACAGATTTACTTAAGTAAGCTTGCGTAAATATTGGAGGATGGGAGGAATGCCGGCAATGATGTAGTTTCCTGACATCCAGACTGAACAGCGTTTTCTCAACATGTTTCAGTGTTGTTGTTGCTCAGCAATGGCATGGACGTGATGTTGTCTGGGGGTTTGGCAAAAGGAGAGTGGGACTGTGGGCAGTACTCGGGGTGGTGACTGAAGGCAGTGACTGCGTAGTTCTGACGTCACCTTTTACGGTAGTCACAACGGTTCATGAAAAATCACCGCTACTTTATGCAGGCTGTGTGCATTTTACTGTGGACTGACTGTTTTGAAACTTATATGGTAGTATGCAAATTCATTCTCTCTTCATTCTTTCGCTTTTCGCCAGGAATATAGCCGTTTCCCCCATAACTGCAGAAAACAAACAGTGCAGCACCTGACTTTGAAACTTGCAGCGCTCATATTTAATCAATTAAATAGCCTTTTGATGTGTAAGCTATATCTCATTATACATGTAAATATACATTTATATGTATATTTAGTTTTTTTTCACCGGAGCACCACTTGAGTCTTCTCCTCCCGTTCCATTTCTACCAGTGATCCTTTCCTTCCCACGGTACACATCACTGTTGTAGGTTGCCAAGTTGGGGGGACAAAGGTGAGCGTGATTTCACCAAGTACAACATGTCCCTGAATCAACATCCTTGTTGATCCTGGAACAACATTCCAATCAACCAATCAGATTTGAGGGATAACTTTTCGGGAAATATCTGTTTTAGGCTTACGATCAGGGTTAGGTGCTTCTACACCCTTGTAAATCAGCTATCATTTCACA